GAACAATATAAATGATAAAACCACAATAATACCAAAAATACAGGGATAAAAACATTGGTTAAATTAGACAAAGCAACTAAATTCACAGAGAGAAAGCCAGCTTGAACAGATGGGTTTTAAGTTTTGATTTGAAGAGAGGAAGTGAGTAAATGTTTCTGAGCTCAGATGGTAATGAGTTCCAGAGTCGAGGAGCTGAGCGACTGAAAGCTCTGTTCCCCATGGTAGCCAGACGAGCGAAGGGTATAGTGAAATGGATGGAGGACGACGATCTGAGGGTGCGAGAGGGAGAGGCAACTTGTAGGAGGTCGGACAGGTATGGAGGGGCAAGGTTGTGGATGGCCTTAAATGTTAACAAGATCTTAAAGTCAATATAGAACCTAACTGGCAGCCAGTGAAGCTCCTGCAAAACGGGAGTGATGTGATGGATGGAGGGGGTTCGGGTGATAATACGGGCAGCTGAATTTTGTACCAATTGTAGCTTATGAAGGGATTTCTTAGAGAGACCAAAGAGGAGAGAATTGCAATAATCCAAGCGAGTGGTAACAAGACTGTTAACAAGAACAGCAGTGGAACGTGGGGTAAGGGAAGGACGTAGGCGATTAATATTACGTAGGTGGAAATATGAAGACCGGGTGATGTTATCGATGTGAGACTGGAAGGATAAGGTACTGTCGAGGATGACACCCAGGCTCTTAACCTGTGGTGAGGGGAAAACAGACGAGTTAACAATAACTAGAGAAAAACTGTCAGTGTTGGATAGTGCTGATTTAGTTCCAACTAGAAGAACCTCAGTTTTGTCATTATTTAGTTTGAGAAAGTTTAAAGAGAACCAGGACTTAATTTCTGCAAAACAATCAGTGAGGGAGGAAGATAAAGTGGAAGAGTTGGGTTTGCTACTGAAGTAGAGCTGGGTGTCATCTGCATAACAGTGAAAGCTGATATTGTACTTGCGAAAGATATTGCCAAGGGGAAGGAGGTAGATAATAAAGAGGAGGGGCCCCAGGACAGAGCCCTGGGGCACACCTGAAGTGACAGTAGAAGGCTGAGATGTGAAAGATTTGAGCTGAATGAACTGAGTACGGCCAGAGAGATAGGATTTGATCCAGTGTAATGGAGTGTGTCTGATACCAATAGAAGATAATGTTTTTATGAGGGTGTTGTGACAAATGGTATCAAAGGCCGCACTCAGGTCAAGAAGAATGAGAATAGTTAGTAAACCAGAGTCAGCTGCCATAAGTAGGTCGTTAGTGATTTTTATAAGTGCAGTTTCTGTGCTATGAAGAGGGCGAAAACCAGACTGGAACTGTTCATACAAATTATTGTAAGATAAGTGGGAATGAAGTTGAATAGCTACTGTTTTTTCAAGAATTTTAGAGATAAAAGGTAAGTTAGAAATTGGACGGAAGTTATTGAAGTCAGTAGGATCAGCACCAGGTCGTTTCAGTATTGGAGTTATAACAGCTGTTTTGAAGGATGGAGGAACAGTTCCAGTGGTGAGAGAAGAGTAAATGATAGCAGAAATGAGGGGAATCAGAGAAGGGAGGCAGGTTTTAACTAGATCTGTGGGTAGAGGGTCTAACTGACAGGTGGATGACTTGGACTTACAGAAAATATCTGAAATTTCTGAAAGGGAGGGAAGCTGAAAGGATGAAAATGTCAGAGTAGGGGAATGGAGTTCAAATGAGCTACAAGTGGAGGTTGACCCAATGTCCTGATGGATCCTCTATTTTTTCATTAAAGAAGGACATAAGGGAATTGCGGAGATCTGTAGAATAAAGATGGGATGGTAGAAAATCCGGGGGTCGGGTAATATTGTTTAGTATTGAAAACAATGCCTTAGTATTACACTTATTGGATGAAATTATATGGGAATAATAGTTGGATTTAGTTTGAGCAATATAATCCCTGTAGTATGATATGTGGTCTTTGAGCATCTCTTTGTGAACAGTGAGTCCAGTTTTTCTGTAAAGTCTCTCTAGTTGGCGTCCTTTGGTTTTTAAAAGCCGAAGTTCAGATGTAAACCAGGGAGCAGAAAAACAAAAAGAGACAGATCTGTTTTTTAATGGGGCAACAGAGTTAAGAATGTCACGAAGCCCACAGTTATAATAGGAAACTAACTCTTCTGGGGTGGATATGCTGGGAATGTCCATAAGAGAGTTAATGCTAGAAATAAGTAAATCCAGATTAATATTCTTAATATGGTGAAAGGAAATGAAACGAGGGAACTTCTGAACAGAAAATGTGAGTTCAACTTTAAATGAGATGAGGAAATGATCAGTTATGGGGAGTTCAACTGCTGTGCAATCAGAGGGGATAACACTAGAGCAGCAAATTAAGTCCAAAATATGGCCTTTAGAGTGAGTCGGAACATCAGTGTGCTGCTGAAGTCCAAAACTCTCGAGACAAGATGTAAAGTCTCTTGTAAAGGGGTTATTATTATTGTCCATGTGTATATTAAAATCCCCCAGCAATATTATATTTGACGATAACGTAGATAAGTGTGTTGGAAAAGTAGCAAAGTCATTTAAAAACTCAGTATTTGATTTAGGGGGACGGTAAACAGTTGCAATAATGGTAGGATCCAGACAGTTGACATACAGTGGATTCAAAGGACCCGAATGCCTGAACAGACACTGGCGAAACTCTCCATTTTTCACAGTAAATTATCGGCCAGAACCACGGGGTTCAGACATGTAAACAAACCCCGGAGGAGTAGATTCATTAAGCTGAGAAAAGTCATCAGGCAGTTGCCATGTCTCAGTTAGACAGAAAAAGTCAAATTTACGGTCGATCAAGAGATCCTGGATGAGATGTCCCTTGCTCTTAAGTGAGCGGATGTTTAGGAAGTTGACAGTTGAAGTTTCACGCAGAGTAGTAGTAGTGCTAGTCGATCGAGCTAGGCTTGCTAGCACACTGTGGTCGACAGTCCTGCTGGAGTTACATGGAGGACGGCGTGAGCTGGACCAGATGGAGTTTATTGTTTTCGAGGTGTCGGTCCGGAAACCCCGACGGGACCCACGGTGAATGTATCTCCGGCGAGGGCAGAAAGCGATGTTCGGATAAAGCTGCGGTATAGTCAGCGGATGTTCAGACAGGTGGAAACGCAGCCGGAGAAGCTCAGCCGCCAAATATTGGAGACCCGTCGCAGGTTGGAAAACAAGCGATGGTGGAGTCCAGATAAACACAAACCAGATAAAAATGCAACTGATCCACACTGTGAGTGAGGATCGGACAACTTAAACGTCCAATGGGCAAATGGGCAGATCCAGATCCAGGAAAGACTCAATACCGGCGAGCAGCGGCAGTCAGTTCGCGCCTGTGTTCGCCCAACCGGCAACTAGAGACCTATTGTTAGCCTTTTATCCAGCACCCCTGGGGCAGTTTTCGGCATTACTGGCTTTGCTGAAGAGCCCAACAGTGATATGAATTGAACTGACAACCTTCTGATCACAGGCACAGAATCCAATCTCACAGAGCCACAAACTTCCACATTAGGCAGGACAAGTTTCCAGGTGCTTCAGATCTTCAACCTGCTAACCCAGTTAGAGCAGAGCTCAGAGCCTGATGCTGCAGGACAGATATATCATCTGTATCAGGATTCTGCTAAATGAACAGGTTCAATGCATGTTCATCATTCCCTTTCTGCTCACAGACGTCCCCCTGCAGGGCTGTGGCCAGCTGCAGCATGGACCAGAAACCTCCCCAGCTAAGTGTGGCAGATGTGAAGGAGGAAGCGCAGGACGTCCTCATATCGGATGTGGACGGGGCCGGGCACAGCAGCCCTGACGAGGCGAAATGGAGCGCTGCTGGTGTGGGGCCCAGCTGCCTTCTGCACTCACAGGTTGCTCGTCTTGCTTGTTAGTATCCAGGCAACTGCATGAACCTTGACCTTTCTGAAGTCATCTGGGATTTTAAACCAGGGGTAGCCAATCTTATCCGCAAAGGGCCGGTGTGTATGCAGGTTTTTGGGATAACCTGTAGGTCAGCTGTTCAAACCCAAGTGTGAGGACTCTTCAGCCAATCAGTCCTCTAATTAGTAATCGAATTAGACAGTTGCAGCGAAAACCCGTATACACACCGGCCCTTTGCAGATAAGATTGGCCACCCCTGTTTTAAACAGTCTCTGTGTGTCCTGCCTCCAACCATGTATCTATGACAGTGAGTCTGTATCTAAACACCTTCACAGGCCTGCTGTCATGTCACCTGTGCTTTTACCCTGTAGTACCTTCAGCAGTGAGCTGCTTAGATGGATTAGGAGTGGAGAGAGAGCAGCAGCTTGAGGGCAGCTTGTGTTCAGTATCAGTCAGGAAAAATGTGTCCT